CCAAGTTTAACATTTTGTTTTTGCTCTCTGTTCCCCCTCGTCTGGTTCCCCCCTCTTTTTTCTCTTCCCCCCCCCCCCCCCCCCCCCCCCGGCCCCGCCAAAGACATGACTACAAATAATTAAGGATCTCAAGATAAGATCATTCTGGATTATCCAAATTGCCACTGACTCCAATGACAAACGAGTATCCTTAAAAGAGACAGGAGAAAAGCAGAGGGGAACAATCAGAGGAGAGGGGGCCACGTGAAGACAGAGGCAGAGGTCGGAACAAGGCAGCCACGAGGCGAGGAAGGCTTGGGGCCACCGGGAGCTGGAAGAGGCAAGGAAGGGTCCTTCCCCAGAGCCTTCGGAGGGAGCGCGGCCATGCTGACCCCTCGGTTTGGGACCTGAAGCCTCCAGAACAGCGGGAGAAGACGTTTCTGTTGCTCCAAGCCATCAAGTTTGTGGTGATTTGCTACAGCGGTCCTAAGAGACCCAGACACCGACGCACAGACACGCGCACACACGGTTCTGCCCCCCAAAAGAATTGCAGAAAGAAAACTAAGTAGGGAGAAATACCCATATCCTGGTACTTCAGCTTGTGAAAACCTCGCGTGCGCAGAAAAGCCCCGTCTTCCCTACCTGAGGGAGGGATCCCTGGGAGGGATTGATTCTCTCCAAGTCTCTTTCTTTGCTCCCTCTCCCGGGTCAGAGAAAGGCCGCTGGATTCACTCAGCTGCTTTAAACAGTTGCCCGCTTGTTTTGCTTCCAAACTCACGTGCTCTCTCAATCACAGGGGAGCCTGGCTGAACAAAGCCTGACATGTCCTAGCTCTTGGGTCTGTGCCTGGAGTCGACAACCCTCACCAGGCAGGCTGAACAAAACTCCCAGGATGTCCCCGCAGAAGTCCCTCGGCTGCCTGCATGTGGCCCTCCCTTCCTTCCCTCCCCTGAAGACAGCGCAGCGTGTCTGGAGGCTCCATGGTGAGCGAAGAATGTTCTCCAAGTGGAATCATACAGGCTGCCTCCATAGCCCTGGTGGCTTCAGGAGGTCAAGGTCAAGGTGCACCCCCACCCCAGCTCTGGATAACCCAACTTTGAGAAAGGGTAGTCAGGGGTGTGGGGCAGCTTTGTTTACTGCCCCAAAGCGAAGCTTTCCTGAAGCCCAGGTGAGTGGCAATCCAAGATGTCCGAGAGCTCCCTCGTCTGAGTAAGGCCCAAAGGTTCCGCTGACCGGGGGTATGGCCCAGGGTAGCGGGTGTAGCCAGGTCACCGAGCGGGCCAGTCCGGGGGGCCACGCAGGCAGGAAAAATCCATGTTTCCTCACCACCCATTGCCCTTCCCCCCCGGACTTTCCCGCATGCCTGTCTGGTCCCGATGCTTCTCTGGTCACTTTTAGGCCCTCGTGGGCGGCCTCCCTCCCTTAATCTCGTTGAGTCTAAGATCAAAGCTTCAGTGCCTCCAGTTTCCAGCTGCTCACCCAGCAGCCCGCAGTGAGGAGAATGGCAGTGAGGTCTGCTTCTCTGCTACGTCTGTGTTCGTCTTCCCTTTTACACTCCTGTCTGCTCCCTGGGCTGCCTCGACCTCCCCTCCGGGCTGAGGGGGAGGGAGGAGAGACAGGGCGTGGGAGCCTCGTCGCTGCTGGCCTCTGGCAGGGCCGGGTGCCCCAACGTGAGCTCGGATCTTTGTGAGTTCTTTGACAGTGTCCCTCTGGGGGACCCCCTTTGGGGCCGTCCGTTCAAGGCATGGCTCCCTGGTGCACAGGTGCAGGTGACGACCCTTCTGAAGCTCTACCCTTCGCAGACCCTTCTCTTGTGCTCTCTTGCTGTTCCAGGCACCCCATTGGGAGTGCTCCCTTCAAGGCAGCTCGAGCCCCATGACCTTGTGCAGGGCCCGCTCTGGTCTGTGGGAAACGCTCTCTCCCTCTTCCGAGCTCTGGGAAAGCAGGCCGCTCCCCACCCCCATGCCCCCCCAACCTGCTTCTCCCCGCGCTCTCCCATCAGGGTGCCTCTGGTTGGACCGGTTTCCAGAACGCTGCAGGCAGGGGCCAGGCGCCAGTCTCTGTCTGCGTCCTCCAGACTCCGGGGTCACATCACGTTCCTCAAGGGGTTCCCTTACAGGCCCCTTGTCTGGCTTCAGGAAGGGAAAGAGAACAGGGAACCCCTCCCCTTCCTGCCTTCCCAGCCCCTCCAGACAGGCAGAAACCCTCTCCTCCACTCTTCTCCCTCATCATTGTCCCCCCACCCCCTGCAGGTGATGATACGCTTGAGGTCACAAACTTGGCTTCCCTCAGAAAGTCCCCCAGACATGGCGCAGCCCCTTTCGTTGAGCGTTGAAGGCACTGGCCGGCTTCCAGTCCCCTCCTTGGGCCATCAGCAGGAGATTCGCTGAGTATGCCACCAGGGCGTTCCCCTTGCTTCAGGCTTATCCTCCCACCCGCCATCTGCTGTTCCAGGGCCCCCTTGAAGCCCTTCCTGTTTGGGGCCCACGCCTCCTCCTTCAGGATGCGGCAAGCTTCCCCGTGGGATAATTCCAGTCCTAAGACTTGGACACTTGTGAACGGCGTCACCAGGTTGTGTCTGGCTGTCCAAGGGGTCCCCCTTTGCCCTGGGCTCCTGAAGGCTTCTGGGAGAGAGGGCTGAGATGGGCTCAGATCCGTGAAAAGGGGGACGAGGGCGGGGGGCCCGTGGTTACCTCCATTTCAGGGAGGTCTCTCTCCACCAGTGCCCCCTGGGCTTCTCAAGCACATAAAAGTGCCTCAGGGCTGCTCTGTGGAGTGCCTCTGTGGCCACACCCCGGGCTAGTCTATACTAGCGAAGGCATATCTCTCTTAATAGCTGTGTTTTGACCCCAGTGCTGATCAAACAATGGCCTGGCACTTTGATGCTAAGTCTGGTCACGGTGGCGCCACGTTCAAATAATTCTGCTTCGCCACAGAGAAGCAGCCTTCTCTCCGCCCCCTTCGGAGACAGGGGGAGGTACCCTGGGGAGGGGGTGGGAGACGGAAGCACACAGAGGAGGGAGCCCATCTCTGGTGACGATGGAGCCTGTGTTCCCCTGGGACCCTCGGGTGGTTTGCCTGGAGCGTCGTGTGCCCGTGGGCTGTTGGGGAGAAGGGGCAGTGGGGGCGGGGGTGATGCTGGAGAACCGAGCAAGGCACCGATGATGTGAGACCTTGCTGGCCACACCAGGGGTCCTAAAGTTCATCCTGAAGGCAGCGGGGTCTATTACAAAGTTCAAACCAGGGGGTTGGCATGATCAGCTTTGTGTTTTGGAAAGAACACTCTGGATTGCAGCACAAAGCATAGAGCGGATGAGGTGAGACTAGGTGGAGGCGGGGAGACCAGGGAGAGGCTGTTGCAGAAGCCCAGAGGCCGATGCTGAGCCTGGACTAAGGCCATGGCAGTGGCATAAAGACAGTGGGGTGAACGAGGAGGGGGGGCAGCCGGGTGGAATCAGCAGGGTGGGGACTCTGCAGGGGCGAAAGGAGGTTTAGGCAGCTGGGTAGATGGCGGCGCCCCACCCAGGGCAGGAGACACAGGAGGGGCACACGACGTGTGTGGGGATAGGTGGACCGGCTCATCCCCACCCTGCCAGGGATGGTCCTGGGCCCCCACATCCTTCAGTAGATGTGTCTCATGTAACTTGCTACCTAAAGCCCTGGTCCTGGTTTCCCTACAGAGCACTGTGCTTGTGGAATAATTCCCAAGACTGGCTCTTCCCGTCTTTCTCCGCCAGGGCCCTCTCGATGCGCTGGCCTCCAGGCCTGACCACCGTAGTGTTCCAAGGGGGACTTCAGATCTTGGCACGCTCCGTGGGCACACCAGTTCCTGTGAACTGAGACGTCCGTGTAGTTTGGAACGAAAGGTAACTTTTTAGGTCTGTACAGTGGGTTTTTGCCCCTTGGTTTAGTTCTCATTTGGTCCGGCATCTGGTGATACTAAGTCGGATCAAAGACCTGATTGTGTCAGAGTAACAACAGCTTTTTTAGCCCCTTCCATCCATCCTTCCTTCCTCTCTCTCTTTCTCTCCCTCTCTCCCTCTCTTTCTCTTTCTCCTTCTCCCTCTCTCTTTCTTTCCTTCTTCCTTCCTTCCTCCTTCTTTCTTTCTTTCTTTCCATTGCTTAGCACACTCAAAGCTTAATGACTTAATAGACTGAAGAAAACATCACCTCTGGCAGAGATTGGCTACATTTCAATCTGGTTTTCTCTTCCCTGCACCCTGGGAGGATGCATTTCCCAGCTGCCCTTGTAGTTAGGCTGGGGCCATATGACTGGGTTTGGGCCAAGGGAATGTGGCTGGGAGAGAGATGTGAGGGGTTTCTAGGCCTGGCGCGAAACCCCGTGTGCAGTGGCCCACGCTCTCCTGTGACAACCTTGGAAGGACTCGTGTTTAAGGTGGTGGCAACACAAGATGGAGAGAAATGAGATTCCTGAGTCACCCGTTGGAATCAAGTCACTGTTCCGCTTCAGATGTGACATGAACAAAGGGTGAGCCAATACCGTATCGAGCCACTGAGGTTTGGGGGTTGTTTTTTTGGGGTTATCCTGACTATCCTCGTTGGAATATACATATTCTATTATATGTAATATGCATAATGCATGTGTGTATATTGTTTTGTTTCGTCAGCTAATTCTTTTTATTTTCAATTTGTTTAATATTTATTTATTTATTTTTTAATTTTTTTTTTCAACGTTTTTTTATTTATTTTTGGGACAGAGAGAGACAGAGCATGAACGGGGGAGGGGCAGAGAGAGAGGGAGACACAGAATCGGAAACAGGCTCCAGGCTCTGAGCCATCAGCCCAGAGCCCGATGCGGGGCTCGAACTCCCGGACCGCGAGATCGTGACCTGGTTGAAGTCGGACGCTTAACCGACTGTGCCACCCAGGCGCCCCTAATATTTATTTTTGAGAGAGAGAGAGAACGGGGGAGGGGCAGAAAGGGAGGGAGACACAGCATCTGAGCTGTCAGCACAGAGCCCAACGTGGGGCTCGAACCCACGAACCATGAGACTTCGACCTGAGCCTGCGTCAGATGCTTAACCAACTGAGCCATCCAGGCGCCCCAGTTCAGCTAGTTCTTGAAGTGTGCACCCACGGACAGGTACATGCTTTGGGGAAAGTACTAGACCACACACAAGAAAAATAAAGTAGAAAGAAATCTTCATGCTTCTGGGCAGGATTGATTTTTAAAATTGGAAATATGATGATAACACTTCATGGCACGATGTCCGCGAGCCCCTCCGTCCAGACCAGCGCTTCTCTTGCAGGCTGAGCGGCTTTTTGTTATACCTCACATGTTCATCGCCGTCACCACGGGGACAGCTGGACACATCCCCCCTTCCCGGCTGAGGGGCCAGGGTGTGGGTGGTGGGGGCGCAGAAAGGATCGCTTGAGATGAAAGTGAGCCCTGGAGAAACCAAACCCATCGTATGGGTACGCAAATACTGGGGTTTCACCATTTGATTATTTTTCTCTTTTCGGGCCCCGGGAAGGGGGGGAATGAATTTCCTGCTCACTCGCAGATGTTCTCTTCATGATGTGGTCTCAGCAGAGTGGCAGAGGGAGAACCGAGTTTCTATGAAGGGTTCCTGCAGCTACAGGAAGGAAAAACGTCAGGGGGTGTAAGATTCTTTAGAAATGACTCAGACACAAAAATAAATTAAAGTTCATTTTTCATGTCCACACGTGTACACTTCAACGTGCACACACATCCACATATACACACATGCACACACATGCCCACATGTCCACACACATGCACATGCATCTAGACACACACACGCACACACACGTTCACAGGTACACAATACACATACATGTCCACACACACACACCCACCCACATGTCCACACACATGAGCACACACACACATAATCCATATGCATGTCCACATACATGCACACATGTCCAGATACACACACACA